CACAGCTGCTAAAGTTGAAGCCAAGACTACAATCAAGTGAGTTTTATTCAAGAACCTGCCCTCTCAAACACTGAAGACACTGCCTCAGCCAAAGGTTTCTTTTAAAAAATCTTTACAGGCCCGGCGAGGTGGCTCACGCCTGTAATCCCAGCACTCCAGGAGACTGAGGTGGGAGGATCATTTGAGGTCAGGAGGTCGAGTCCAGCCTGAGCAAGAGCGAGACCCCGTCTCTAGTAAAAATAGAAAAAATTAGCCAGGCATAGTGGCACATGTCTGTAGTCCCAGCTACTCAGGAGACTGAGGCAGAAGGATTGCTTGAGCCCAGGAGTTTGAGGTTGCAATGACCTATGAGGATGCCACTGCACTCTACCTGGGGTGACAAAGTGAGACATTGTCTCAAAAAAAAAAAAAAAAGAAGAAGAAACTATGGACACAGTCACCACCAGCTTGTCTCATCACATCTGTACTCATAAAGGGAAAACACAGCTCAGAAACCTCAAAAACCCTTCTCGAAGTCCCACACCAACCATTAAGGCTTGGAAAGGTCTACGGTAGAGACCCGACAAAACGACTGCTGCTCAGAGAGGTAGGTGCAAGAACCGGTACTCACCTCCTCTGGGTCAAGACTGGCCCAGCCCGTGGATATTCTGTGCAAAGGAAATGAACAGTCAGGAGGTTCTCCTACCGGCCCAAGCTCTGTGACTGACTCCTGGAACGCTGGGTGGGGAAGGAAGCCTTTTCTCCCCCTGCGGCGCCTCCCCGCCCTGGCTGCAACGCCCCACTCGATTAACAGCAGGTGACTCACCCTCAGTGATGCTAATGTAACTGGTCCAGCGTGGGCTCTGGGGGTCAGGACCTTTAGAAACTCCCCAGGTGCGTGTAGTGAGCACATCCACTGGGTCAGGTGTGACACTGTGATATAACAGGAAATATACATTTTGGGTTTTGCAGGACACCTGGCTCACAGCCCAAAAACTCTTGTAATTTCCTATGTCACTAGAGCAATAGGAGTATATTTTGTTAAAATATTTGGCCTCTAATTCTTAGTTCCTGAAACCCCACCCGAGAGCAGTACTGGAGAGATAAAGGTGAAAGAGGTGTCTTTTGTTATTCATAACCCGGCCCTTTCAACCACGCCTGAGTTTATGTTACCAGGTGATTTTTGGGAAGCCCCTAGATAAGCACCCAAGGTTGTCTGGCAGGGAGGCTGGTGCCAAGGAAACCAACCTGGGATTAAAGGTTTGGAACTTTCAGCCCCAGCCCCCACCTGACCTTGGGAGGGGAGAGGGGCTGAAGGTCAAGTTGATCACCAACCTCCAGTTATGTAATCTTTTTTTTTTTTTTGGTGACAGAGTCTCACTCTGTTGCCCAATCTAGAAGGCAGTGGTGTCATCATGGCTCACTGCAACCTCAAACCCCTGGGCTCAGGTGATCCTCTCGAGTAGCTAGGACTGTAGATGCACACCACCACACCTGGCTAATGTTTTTTTTAAATAATATTTTGTAGAGATGGGGTCTCGCTATGTTGCTCAGGCTGGTCTCAAACACCTGGCCTCAAGCGATCTTTGTGCCTTGGCCTCCCAAAGTGCTGGGAATCCTAGC